TTCTTGGTGAAGAACCTTAAAAGACTCATGTAGTTCTTCCATGTAATTTATTCACACAAACCTATGAAGCACAGATTTATTAGCAGGTAGCAGCAGTGCAGATGCTCAAGGAAAACTGTCCGAACTTTGAAGTGATTTTTCTGAAGTGTGTTTTCCTCCCCAGACACACACATGGCCCTGCGTGCCATGGAAACGGAGTGTAGCTGTTCTGCCTTGCCATGGGAACACTGTTTTGAAGACATTTTCTTTAACCAGGCTTTTAGCACATCCATTTTGATTTGCATCCAAATGGGTCACAGACATCAATGCAGCATTATATGGGCAGAAAAGGGGAATGAAATGCTTTTAACATGAAAAATATGCTCTTGCATGTAGGCCAACTTTTGTTCTCTTTCAATTTATCTAGGATTTGGGTGGGTTTAATTCTAGGACCAAATTCAGTACTGGCATAAGTGAGCACAACTCCATTAGTGCAAATGGAGTCTCAACATTTTGTGTCAACAGTGAACTTAGATCATTGAATTTTTCCCATGTTTGGGCTTACATGTTTCCTGCAAGATAATATACACATGTACTTGCACATATGCTGCACATATGCACATAAAAATTCACTGGGGAGGACGTTTGGCTCTGTGCTCCATGTTTGACTTTATGTACAGAAACTGCAGTCAGCTTATGAGTTTTTTGCTTCTCCTGTAGCTAATGTGCCATGCATCTGTAAGGGTCAGCCATGCAGAATGCCACGTTGCAAGTAAAATCCCCAGCAGCAAAGGCAAACGTGAAAACTGCTTTTCTTCCCTCAGCTTGCAGGATTGCATGTGCTCACAGACCCATGTGATCAGGTTGTACAGATTCTTCTCCCCCCTGTTCTCGTCAAGTTGAACACTGTCTTGAACAGGGGGATGTGTAGAAATACTAGAGATGCTTATCATTGGAGTGAATTGTAATATTTACTCAGCTGCAGGCCTCAAGTTTAGTGTGTGCCATGAGGTCTGCTTGCCTCTTAGTGCCTGAGGAGTAGCAAGACCGAGATGTCTCATTCTCTGTGGTGTTTCCTGTGTCCACAGCACATGAGGAGTTCACGTTTGTAGGCACCATAGATTCCCCCACCCCGTATTTAAAGGCAGCAGTAATATTTTCCTTTTTTGCTCGTTTTCAGTCTGGAAGGCCTTAGGTATATCCTGAGAGTGACATTCCAGTGCTCCCTCTGCCCAACAAAATGGGGTGTCCTCGTGTTCTCAGTATCAAAAGAGCTAAATAACATTTGTGGTGAGAATTAGAGGACACTGGCCTGCAGAACAGTGTGAAATGGGATCTCTAGGAAGAAAAGTAAGGCTCTGCCCACATATAAAACTTGACCCTTCTCTGTGAACATTATCCCTGTGAATAATTGGAAATCTACATTCAGGCTTCCTGCTGTGTCCCATCCCCTGAGGCCACACCCTCTGTATTGCTTTACATGGTGCAGCAAAGCACAGCGAGATTTACATATATATCACATAAAAGTGTTTACAAAAAAAATTAGCATGTGATTGAGCTGGGAAGCTGCAGAGGGCCCCAACTGTACGAGTTTCCATGTGCTTCAGCCAGAAGATTTATTTCCAATTTGTTATTCATAAGGGAAGAGCGAGAGATTGGGATGGGGTCCTTTGAAGTGGAAAACAAAGTCCTCTATTCAGCCTTCAGCTTAATAGAATACACATGACACAGGCTTGGCATGGCGGCTGCTTTCATGTAATGTGCTCCTTGTCATTTTGCTTCCCTAGGCTGTGAATGCTAGTGGGAATGGGTATTGCCCTGGAAAAGTCAGGTTATCCCCTGCAGCCTTCTGCAGGAGGAGCACAGTGTGAGCAGGTAGGAGCATTTTTTGGTGGTGGTGGTGGGGAACCCAGGCTGAGCCAACTGTTTGCAGTCGTGTTGCTCGTAATTCCCGGGCTGCGTTTCATGCTGCAAGAGCACGTGTAAGGAGAGTGGTGTCATTGCAGGGCTTCTGCAGGCATTGCACGGGCACTTCTACCCTTTTTGGAGCTGCTGAGCTCTGGCCTGTGGGCTCTGAGCCTCCTCTGACGCCCATCCTCTGCCTGACCTGAGCTCTAGCTGTTATCCCCCCGAATGGAAGGCTCTTCCGAATCTGTGCAGCATCTAGGATGGGAGAGCGAGATCTGGGCCCTGTGTCACTGCAAATAACCAGCCATTCCATTCACAGTCAGTGCTTTTGGGATATTTGAATATGAATCCTGAATTTCTTTCCAGGAACAAGGCCCTGGTTAACCAGTAATCCACAAGTATCCAATATCTTCTGTGCTTTACCCTGTCTTAGTGGTGGTAAAACCTTCCCAGTGCAGCACGAAGGCAGGCGCTTTCAAACAACTTACAATCCCAACTTACCACAAAGCCCTGTCAATTAGTTGGCCCATAGGCTACGAGAGAAAGCATGAGTGGCCTTCAGCACGTCATCTTGGCCCATAGCATTGTGTGGTTAGAAAGAATTTGGACCAGAGTCCTGCTGGTCCTCTTGGCCCTGTGACACTTGTTCCTCTTGGCTTCCTCCGGCAATGATGTCCTCGTGCCCTGCTTCTCTCTTGCTCTTCTGCATGTTCAGGTTTGGAGCTCTGGGTGAATCACTGAAATTGGAGATGGAAAGAAACGCATGAAGTCATCTCATCCTGCCCTTGCCAACGCAGGATTATTCCCCACAGTACAATCTTGAGTGCCTTCTCCAATCTATTTTTAAATGACTCAAAGGAGAGGGCTTTCCTCTCCTCCCTGGGGAGGCTGGCTCTGCGGTTCAGTAGACCTCACTCTTGGGGAATTTTCTTCCTGTTCTCCAGCCTCAATTCTCCTTTTCCCTAATTTAATTGAACTGTTCCTGGCTCCACCCTTTTAAACAATTTTCCATATTGCATGATTGTTGCAAATACCTGTTGTCAATTTGCAGGCAAAATGGATGGGAATTCATCACCGTTTGCCTTGCTTGGCGAAGGCTCTTTGTGCAGAGCTGCATTGGGAAGCCAGGCTTTATCAGAAACTAGATTTCAGAGCTACATGCCAAGAAATAAGAATGACCTTTTCCTTCTTCTTCGGACAGTGACATTAACATAAAACCCCATCATGATTGAGAATAGGCTGGGCTTCTGGCAAAGCCATGGATGTCTGTATTAATGGGCTGATTTTTGTCTTAGTTCTCCAGCAGCTATTCCACGGTGCTTTTTTTTCATGGCAGAAGTAGCTGCTGTAAGTTCTTGGATTTAGCTGTAGAGGTGCAGACACTTGGAGAACGTTTAATGAAAAAATATAGTAATTCTGTTCTTTATCAAGTGGCTCCAGCATTTAAGTTTCAAAAGCCCTGATTTTCAATTTGAGGTTTTTTTAAGCACCTGAAGTGTTTTGAAAAGGGGTGTTGAAGGTGGGATTTATGCTATTGCAACACCCAGACACTTTGGAAGGCAGTGCCGTTTATCTTAGGGAGCACCGTGTCCTTCATCCAGCAGGACTGAGCTGTGGGAGAACTGTGTGTCCAAGAGACTGTAAGTTATTCCAGAAAAGCATATTATGGTTTTGAAGAATTATGAATCCCTATTTATTTATTTATGAGACGAAAATGAGTTTCTGCTGTGGGTGAGGGCAGAATACCATCCCATACTAAAAACACCAGGAAAAGAATGGCTAGCATTAAAGAGACTGGAATCCCTTCAGTGCTCTCGTACAGCAGAGCTGCAGCTATTTAGCTGTGGCAGGGTACCAAACAACATTGTGGCTGGCCATTGTTGCTTGAACAGTTTGATTTTTAAAACATTCAACTGAAATATAACCACCAGCCAAGTTGGAACAAGCGAGTCACGAGGGCAGCGTGTTAAATGAAGAGTCAGCAAACAGGGGAAGAGTTCTCCTGCTCCAGCGGAAAGTTGCTGTACTGAAGACCAGGAGCCCCAGAGCAATATCTCAGCCTAGCACAGCTACCAATTGCTTTTAAGGAGATTTTATAGTATAGAAGTAATATGACTTTAAAAAGAAGGGGAAGGCCACAGCTATAAAATAAAATTCCTGATTTCTCTGTGGTAGGCCTCAGAAGGGCCATGGATCCCATCCCGTTTTGCTCAGCACTGATCCTCACGTCGTAAACCAGAAACCTCTCCTCCAGAGAGCTTCCAGCGTTGAGTGTTTCAGGAGATGGGGATGGGGGGATGGAGCAGAGTGGAGGAGGAGAGAGCACGGTGACCACATGCCATGGTACAACCAGCCCAGCTGGCCTTTGCTGCTGACACGGGTCGGGCTCATCAGATGGGGTGAGGTGACTCTTGAGAGGTTTTTTAGGAGGTTCCTGTGGGTGCTTTCAAATGTGCATGTTGAAATGCTGCTGTGAGATGAGGGATGGCAGCAGGGTGCGTGGAAGCCGAGGAGAGGAGGGTATGTGGTCCCTAATGATGCCAAGTGAAAAAGAGAGATACACCTGCTTTGGGATATAAGGGGAGTGATAAGACTAATTCCTGAACGACGGGATTTTGGGGTGGAAAGTGACGGGAAGGGTTGGTTTGAGAAATGTAGGGGAGCAAACAGGACTTAGATGTCGTGGTTTTGGGGACTGTTTGTTCATTTTAAGTAGGAGCCTTGGTACATCTGAGCTGAGCTGATATTGGTTCTTGCATGCCTCTCCCCCCGCCCCCTTCCCGCTTAGTGTTTTGCTTTGCGTTGTTTTATCTGCCAAAAAGAAAAATAAATTCACAAAATATTTGCAAAGTTGCATGGCCACAGGCTTAAATACATACATATGAATTCCCTGAAAGCAATTTGCTTCAAGCCCTCGGTTCCAGACGTCTCTCTCACTCCATCTGCTCGCTCAAGTACACAAGTTCCTTGGGAAAAATCACTTATTACATCACTGAAAAATGCCACAAAAATAGCTTTTCACTTAAGTTCCCATCCTCGGAGTTAACTCACATGGGGATCAGATAGATTCAAACATTTAATAACTTTTTATTTTCCTTTCTCTTTAAACACAGGATCTCTGGTCATGGAAGCAGGGTCACGTGGTGGATTCTTGGCAGTCAGCAGTCTGTGGAGCTTTTGCAGGTGCAAAGGATTATATGTTATACTGGGAAAGACTAAAGAAGAAAGGGAAAAATGTGCAAATCTATTAAGTATAGCAGAACAACATTCCTTTGTAATTCAAGTTTGTTTAGAAGAAAATGGACCAGTTGTTGTTTGGAAATAGGAAAGTCAGCAAAGGAAAGAGAGGAATGGAAAAAAAAAAAAAAAAAGACTCAGCCAGGGTGTCTGTTTGAAAGACAACCAATTTGTTTTTGACAAATTTCTGTTATTTAAAAACCGGGGGCCTGTCAGTCAGGCTTTGTGATTATTTCGAAGTTGATCTGGAAAATCCTCATCCAGGAGGAACTTTGCTTGGGTGGGGGTTTGTGCAGCTGTCCGCTCCCAGCGCTTCCCCAGGGGCTGGAGTGATTGCAGCGAGAGGCCATGATTCACCATTCATGTGACAGCCCTGACAGCCATGTAGATTAACTGGAGGCAGGAGAGCAGAGGAGAGCACTGCTCAGCCCGGGGGCAAAAGCCTTCCACAGCAAAAAAACCCAGAGGACAAAACATCTGGGCAATCTCCAGACACTAGAACAAGAATAAAGAGTGGCAGAGTACAATACTGCACTATTTATTAGCAAACGAGCCAGAAGTTAATTGAATTCTTCAGTAGGCTTCTTGCTTGATTTTTAGCCTACTGTACTTGTTTAAAAAAAAAGAAACAAGAGAGGAAAAAAATCAATTAATGACTCATCAGTATAGCTGACAAGTTTGAGGGAGGAGAGACTAAACTGTCTTAATAGAAAAAACAGATTAGTAGTTAAGAGATGGATAGCCAGAGCTTTTCCCCATGGAGCTAAAATACATTTTGAGATTCCAAACTAGTAATAGAATATGTGGAAAAAATAATTCCTGTTTAAAGAGAAATTACAGCATTTCTTGAAATAGAGATTATCAAAAGCAAAGCTTGTTCTTTGATAACTTAAATTCAGAACCATTACATCGTATGTAATTTTTTTAAAAAATAAGTTGTGTTATGGGAAATGAAGTATTAATAGCAGCAGAATTCCTGCAGAGACTGAGGCTTCATTTTGAAGGGCACTGAAACTGCACAGCTGAGGGAAGGGACTGTGCCTGTGGCTGCACAGTTTGGTAGGTTGGGTGTGTGAGCAGTGAGGGAATGGATTAGGTAGAACTGATTCCATTTTGGGGCAGAGGGAATATTTTAGATGACCTCTCGTGGTCTAGTCCAGCTGTAATTTCTGTGTTTATGTGATGGGAAGGGAGTTTTATCCTGCTTAAAATCCCGCTGCTGGATTCTACACTGACTTCATCAATCAGTGCAAACAAAATCAGAGCGATTAAAGCAGATCGTTCATTTTTGTTTTGAAACAAGTCAAGCTACCAGACTAAAAATGTTTAAAATGCAATCTGTACGTCTGCAGGTGTGATGGGGATCATTAATTTACCTCTGTTGATTTCTTTACAGTCAGATTGATACAAAAACTGTGTTCAGGCATGTTCAGAGAGCTGGAAGGTTATCTGATTTACCCAAGGCCTTGCAGAGTAATTTCCTGAAGTCCAATTTGGTGCCTCAGTTGGAAATCTAGCCCAGTGCCTCCAGTTCCTTCTCTGAGTGTCTTGATTCTGACCAGCTGTGCTTGGACTTGCTGCTATTTAATGGATGTTCAGCAGTGTCTGCTGCTTTTCTGGCAGAAATATTGCAGAGGAAGCTTTCAGAGGCACTCTGGGGAGACCTAACACTTGGTGTTGGAGGAGACACCGTGTCCTGGAGCAGCACAGACACTTCCAGGTCCATGGTGGTGGTAGATGGGACAGTTCAACCTACCTGCCTTTGGAGGCTCTATTCCCCAAGTACAAACCTTTGCAAATCTTGAGTCCTGTTTTGTAGGTCCTGTTGTGATCAGTGATCGTAAATATTCTCTGGGTCATCCTTCCAGCTTCACTTCCTCCATCCTGGTTTTCCTTCTCTGTGCTTTGTCTCCCTATTCTTTCCTTTTCCCTAGCAGTACTGTCAACTTCCTTTCTCATGTGTCCTTTGAGGACCTGCTTCAAAACTCACAACCTTCCCCTCTGTCTCCATTGCCTCCCTCTGCAGACATGTAACCTGCAGGCCCTCCTTATTGATCTGTTCTGGTACTGCATCCATTCTATTTCACCGAAAATATTTGGCCTTCTTGCTGAGGGGAGGCAGTGGAAAAATAATTTCCTGCTTTCCAAAGAATGGATTGCACAGTTAAAAATTATTAACTACCTACATAGAACTTCAAACAAGCAAAGAGAAAACAGACCAAGCCCTTTATCCCTTTCTTTCCACCCCAAAACAAAAGAAATCAAAACCTCACCAGTACCCTGTGAATAAAACAAGATGGATGTGTGCATCCAAGTGATTTAAAATCTTCACGTTATAGACCTTAAAAAGAAGAATGTTATCCAAAAAAACAACCTTTACACAAAGAGATGCTGTCAGATGCCACCATGGTAGTAGTGGGATGGTGAAATCACACAGACACACTTTTCTTCTCTGTTCTTTGCATGAATTCAATACTTTCTAAAAATATGTTAGAGGTCCTGAGAGGCTGGGTAATAAGCTGAAACAAACTGAAAGAAAAGTCCTATTTAGCTTCCCTTTATGGCACACACACGTGTCTGTGTGCATTGGTTAGTTCCTAGCTGAATTATAACTATTTGGTGAAGACAGAACCAAGAGCAACAATCTGTTGAATTCCATCCCCAGTGCCTGTGAAGTGGCAGCAGTTCCAGGCAAAGTGCTTTGAGGAGCCTGGTGCCGCTGTGTTGAGCACACGTGTGTAAGATGTATGTCTGTGATCCATGGGGGTTTTACAGAAATGGAACAGGCATGAGCATAAGATACCAGAGATGTGGAATCTGCTCTGGCTCATCTGTTAATAATTTAATCCCTTGAGACCTCGTCCAGCTTTATCATCGTTTTGGTGTCTTAGCTAGAGATGTTTGGAGCAGTGATGGAGTGGGAGGAGGTGGTATCTGAGCAGCTGGTGGGGAAGAACCCAAGGGTAGATCTTCGTATTTTAAGCCCCAGGTTGTGTTTGAACCGAACCTTGCCTCATTTGGACACTAGCCCAGAGTTGGGCACAGGGTGGAGGCAGAGGCACTGTCCCCATGCTGTGGGCAGGCCAGGCATGATTGTGCTTGTGCTCCATGCTTGAGTCTTCTCTGGGCTGTCCCAGAGGAGCTTCTGGCTGAGTCTTGTGTGTCCTCCAGTGGGACAGTGGCAAGGAAACCCTGCCATCGGGTATTAGCTGTCGGGAAGGCAAAGTACTGCCCTGGAGGTCTCCAGCTTGTCAAAGAATTTAAATGTCCATTTGATGGGATTGAAAATTACCTCTGTTAAGATGCCTTCTTTCTCTCTATCTAAAAAAAAAAGTGTGGCTTCACATTAATAATTAATGCTCTGTGGTGACAAAGTCACCGAGGATGGAGGTGCAAGTGTAGTGAGACGTAAGGCACTAACGAGAGCTTTTTGCACATTAACGGGGAGGATTTCCCATCACTTTTGTTTTGATCTAATCGGCTCTGACAAGATTACACACTGTGTCTAAAAGCCTCTTTAACTCTATAGCTCTGAATAAATTTTTGAGTAGTTCTCAAGATTTCCCTGCAGAGTCTGCTTGGACTGGGCTCCTAACCCCGAATTAGTTAAATCTCTGAGGAAGCAGTGCTTTGTCTTGGTATTTCTGCTGAAATTCAAAAAGGTTCCTGGGTCACTTTGCTCTACCATTGGCAGGTGCTGTTCCCACACTGATAAAGGACCAGAATAAACTTCCTTGTAAAAAAAATTAACATAATATCAATAAAATAAAAGTTCAAATAAGAACCTATTGATTGAAGAGTTCTGAAAAAGGCCATTTGTGAACTTGGAATTCAGTCAGTGTAAGAGGATGCTGTGAGGTTTAGGTTGGACCTGAGCCACTTAGTTTTTCAACCCAGATTTGGGATTCGATCCTGAATCAGTCCTGGGTAACCTTCAGATGACAGGACAGAAAATAATAGTGAAGAAAGCCAATAGTACAGCTTGATGTGGATTTCTTTCTTTTCCTAAGACAGGCTAATTCCAACAAGGACATTAGTCAAGCACAAGTTCTTGTCTCTAGAAACAAGCTTGAGCTACTGAACTGGGCTGATATTGCAGAATAGAGAGCAGGGGTCTTGTCAGATGACAGGAACACAGAATCAAGAGAAACCTCTGTGAAGGCCAGAAGGGTTCCCTGGACCCTTTAGAACAGGTGACTGAAGGAGAACTTGCCTTCCTCCCTTCATAGGATCTTGTGTGAGGATTGTGTCAAAGTACCTGTGAATCATTTTCCTGTAGCTGCAAATTCTACAGGCAGCCACCTTACTGCAAGGACCCAGGGCTGTGTATTGTTCTCAGGTGAAATATTTCACTCTGTTCTGATGCTTTTATTTGTGTATGGCAGCTAAAAAGGGCAGAAAACACCAGCGGGAACCTAGGGGAAAACCTTTAATCTTCAAGACTTTTTCTTCTTGTTGCCAAATAAAGGTAGACCATTCTCTGCAGGTGTCTGTCACTAGCACTTCCATCAAGAACTGGTCCCTGGGAAAGTGTGAGTAGCAGAGGGATTTTCTGTTTAACACCCTGAGCTCAGCTGATGTGTGAATATACAGTGACCATTGTAACTTCTTGGGAGACAGGTGATGAATTTCCCACTACTGAGTGAAGGTTTATTTTCCCAGTAGAGGAATTTGTCACTCTGCTAGAGGTATTAATGAGCCAAGAGCCTTCTCCCATGTGAAAATCCATGTTTATGCCTACCTGCTGAGCCCAAGTCTTTCTAGGGCAAGGGAGAAAGGAGCCTTGTCCAGGAGTGAGCTGGTGAGTGAGTCTGGACACAGACTGCCTGCAAAGGTGCCCTTTTCTCCATCAGCTCTGCAGAGAGGTTGGAATGATTAGAAGTGTGAGGCTGGATGTGTCTGGGCCTTTCTTGCCCATTTGATACTATGATGGTTTTCCTGGTTGCTGACTAGTTGAGCAGACTCCAGCCTTATATGGCAGCTCTTGGAGAGTTCAGTGACAGCAGGAGTAGAATGACTAAATATAAAGAAGAAGTGATTTAAAGATCTGTTGGGCCCCAATGTGTCCTAGTGCAGTGCACAGCCCTCCTATTTTGAATGAGTAGACTCTGGCTGTGCTAGTTTGTATCTGTTATGTTAATCTGATGATTGGAAACAGCCATGTTTTAATTTCCTTCACCTGGCTGGTGATGGTGTGGCCTGTTCCTGGATAGCTGTGCACTAATGTTGAGGAAAGTAATTCTAAAATTACCTTGGATATTTAGGGTTAAGGCTGGAGCAAATTCATTTTGTCAGACTCCACTGCCTTCAATAAAAAGCAGTTCCCAGCAAATGCAAACTTTAATCTTGTGTTTTTGTCAAGCATATACAAACTTGCTTTTAATTTAGCCGCTATCCTGCTGCTTGTTGTGCTTATGAAGCATTTTATTGTTGGTGTTGTCGTTCTGAATTGATTGGTAAATCTGTCTGTACCAAATACTTCCCAGTGATGGAAAAAGAAACATTGAAATTTTAATAACACAGGAGTAGGAAAGATCCAGATGTAAGCTGGGAAAAAATGAAAACCAATCAGCCTTGATTAAACTTTTCAGATAAGGAATTGGGAACATCGTGTCAGGATAAATTGTGTTTGTTCTAATCACTCTATCAGACAAGATTGAAGCTGCTGCCAATAAGAAATTCTTAGGAACAAATGTATAAAAAAAATATAAGGGATCTGATAAGAGAAATAAATTGATCTGGCTAATGTGTTACCATCAGTTTTGTAGCTGGGTGATGCTTTGAGATTTTTTTTGCTTGTTGCAGGTCTGACAGCCATGTGTTCACTGTTTAATTTTATCTTGTTCTGTGGGCAAAGGAAGGGCTTCTACATCCAGACTTGTAAAGCCAGTATTTTCCATGAAGATTATTTTTACCGTTCTAAAAATACACCGCTGTCATGAGTACCAAAGCTTCTATCCAGACCATTCCCTCAAAGCCTTTGGGTCACTTACTCAAAAACTGGCTCACAGTAAAAAAGGATTTTCTGGACTGGAATTTAGTTTAACTTGCTCATGGTTTCTGCTCTGCCTTCTTGAATACAACCCCTTTTTCTGCTTTTCAGTGAGGCACCGCTGCTGGAAAGGTTCCGGCAGAGGGAACCACATGGGCCGACCCTACGGGAGTGGAAGCTGCTCCTAAACCAGGCATTTTGGGCTCTTCACTAACTCAGCTTTCCTGCTAGTCTTGTTTGAGATCCAGGGCACTGCACATGTGCCTTACTGCATCTCCTGAACTGTCATGGGACGTTCCTTAATTAACTGTAAGAAGTCAAGGAGGGTGCCAGCTGGCCCAGCCTCCTCTGTCATAAAACAGGGGTTTAATATGTTCAAGCTAAGGTGATGGAGAGAGAGAGATATGCAGGTAAGAACATGAGCCAGCAGGGAAAATGGATTTTTTTTCATTACTTTACACATTTTGGAAGAAATGCTTTTTCCCCCTCTCCCATCCCAAGAAAAGAGAAATCAATTTTTTGACATTCCTTAAAACTTGGAACAGAAAAGAGATTATTTTTAGCTTATTCCCTGGGTACTGTGTAGGCTCCAGTCTTTGGAGTCACTTTGTTCCCTGCTGTAGCAGATACAGGATTTATACAAGCTCCAGAGAAAAAAAAAACAGGAGGAAGAAGAAACATTTCAGAACAAGTCCCTCTTTTACCTCTCCACCCTTTCTTCCCCTTTCATTCTTTGCTTACTACTACTCCTGCATTTCAGAAGTTTCCTTCGCTTTGGCTCTTTCTCAGCATGAATTACTTACTTGAAATATTGTGAACAGAAGAGGAGAGATTATAGTTAATTTTAGGATGGAGAAATAAGGCAAAGGGAATAACGTTCTGGGAGAAAAAGCAGCAAAGTTGGTCCCTGGATAGTACAAGAGGCCAGGCTGTAGCCACAGGGTTAGAATGTGGAGCCAGACACACACGTTTGTGGGTGAGACATGCAGATGGATAAGCTGGATTTCTGGCTTTCGGGAAGAAAGTCACAGCTGAGCTGGCTGCAGCAAGTGAAAGTAATGAGCTCCAAGGGTGAAGTTTGGGAGTGATTAGAGAGGATAAAAATGGCCCTGAGGGGAAGATGGCACTTGTGGCAGCAGACTTCTAACAATTTTCTGAGACCTTTGGGCAGCTTCACGTTGTTGTTGTTATCCAGAGTGGAGCTGATTTCATTTGTTGGAGATGAGCTCCATCCCTAACACTGGCTTGTCTTTTTTCCTTGAAACAGAGTCCCAGGTCTAAGACTCCAGATCCAGTCTCTCTGTATCCAGTGGTTATCTTTGCCCCTGAAGCTGGTGTGTTTCAGATGCAGAGCATCCTTCTATCTTTTTGTAGCATTTGAATGGTCAGACTTTAATTCTCAAGGCTGAACACAGTGGCAGTGGTTTATTTTCCCATCTCTGCAAATGAGTAAGCAGGTTCTTCCTTTCAGACCTGCTGTAGATGTTGGAAGTGGAATCCGTTATCATTAAAACCTTCACGTGTTCATACATGTAGAGTCCAAAACAAAAGGACAGTGGTGTCCCTGGGGATGTTTGGATTTACAGTTAACTAATATAGAGCTGTTTTTTCAATTCAACACACATTAACAAAACACTCTGTGTGCAGACCCTCGACAAACGTACCTGGGCTCTGACGGGGGGGAACAGGCTGTGGGCATTAATAACAGAGCAGTGTTGACCACAGCCCTGGGAATTATAGGCAGTGTGGCATTCATATTCACCCAACAATGTCTCACTTGTGTTTGGTATTTTAATTTTCTCAGGTGGATTTGCAGCTGTAGTCACCACACCTCTCGACGTAGCGAAGACGAGAATTATGTTGGCAAAGGTAAGAGTGAAGGAGTCCAGCAGACACACAGGTGACTGGCCTGGGTAGTTCCAGGCTTTCTGTAGGGTTGTTACAGAATGAAATCCAGCACCTATTAATAATCATTTCTGCCCTTGTTCTCGAAGGCGGGATTAGATGTGAACAGGCAGAACTAATGAAATTGTTGTGTTCCTTTCCTTGAATTGCCCCTCTGGTCCTTTCCCAAAGGACTTGTCTGAAACAAGGCTTGGACTTGTGCTTGATTTCCAGAGTCTCATGGAGTGCCTTTAGGAGAAAATCCTTGCAGAGTCAGACACCCAAAGTTAAACTGCTCATCAGGGATTTATTCCTCTGTTGTTTTGATAACTGTTGGGCTTCAGAGTGTGTGTGTGTTTTTTCTGAGGAGGGATTGGCACTGGATTTTCTGTCCTAACATTTTAAGCCATAGTGATTGTGATGGCCTACATCTGCCAACCAGAGCAAAAGGAAGATTGCTCATAAGATCAGTAAGTTTAGTAAGTTTATAAATTGACAGTGGGTCTGATGTTCCTGTCATCTCACTGACCCAGAGCAGAACTGACAGCTTCATAGCTAAAAGCCCTGAGCAGGTGGGTGTTCCTAAAGCCTTTCTCTTCCCTGAGAAGAACTGTTGTGTTGGCAAAGGACAGGCATCCTGGAGGTTGTATGGGTGGTTTTCACCCTGTTGCTCATGTCTCTCAGTATGGAGGTGTAACTTGTTGATAACATGCACCTCCCCAGCCAAGTCACACACATCTGTGCTCGCCACGTTGCTGGGTGTATCTGTCATTGCTGGGCTGCATCTGTTGCAGATTCTTTGTCTTTCAGTAGTGTGGGTGATAAAACTGTAAGAACCAGGTTTCACTTAACTGTGCCCCTGTCCTGGGCATCCAGGTAAACATTGGTAGGGGAAGAAGGGTGCTGTGAGGTGTTCTGAGACCACTCAGACAGCTTCTTTATATTATCTCCACAAACTAGATCACACATCTAATAACTACAGAATCTGTAGTTCTACTGTTTGTCCTTTGGTTTTCACTTAAGGCTATTTTCACGTGCAATACACTGCTGACATTCTCTCTCTCTCTCTCTCTCTCTCTCTCTCTCTCTCTCTCTCTCTCTCTCTCTCTCTCTCTCTCTCTCTTTCTCTCTCTCTCTCTCTCTCATTCTCTGTGTGTGGTGCAGGCTGGTTCCAGAAATGCCAGTGGGAATGTTCTGACTGCCCTTAGTGGCATCTGGAGGACACAAGGCCTGTCAGGGTAAGGACATGCTGCACCTCGGGTGTTGTATCTCTGTGTGTCGGGGGGTGGGAGAGAATGGGATATTCTGCTTATATTTAAATACTGTCAAAGAGAAGAGATTTTGGTTGCTGTACACCTGGACAGAGAGTGGTTAGCTAAGAAAAGTCCCTCGGGGAGGGACTTGTATCTATTTAAATTCAGACTTGCACATCTTGTGGCAGTGAGGACCACAGTTTCTTCTTGAGGTGTGTGAATCCCCCTCCTGGAATGTCAGGGAAGGATGGCATAGGAGTCATCTTTCCCTTATGGGCAGTCTTTTCCACCTCCTGGCAATTTCTTATGCTGTGGAAGTCTGGGGTGATGTCAGTCCAATCTCTTAACTGCCTCACTTTGCTCAGGCCTGAGACAGAGAATTGCTCTCCTGACCTTAGAGTGGTGTGGGAACACAGATTCCTCTGCTAGCATTTGTAGAACATTTTGAGGTGTCAAAGGCTCATAAATGATTGTTGATTTTTACCTGCTTCATTTACTCCACCTTGCCCTCTTTTGGGGGCGTGACTCATACCAGTTGTTCGGCACTCATAGTGAATATATGTCCTAAACAACTTCTCCAGCCCATGAAGTTTAGCCTGTGCTTCCTTCAGTAGGGTTTGTGTCCCACCTGCCCATGGCCTGGAAGAGAAATGGAGAGATTTTTGGAAGCTTTACTTGGGTCTTTTCCCTGTAATTTCTCATAGGTTTTTAACCCCCTCGCTGTGGCCGATGCTCTCAGGGCGCTGTTTTAACCTTTGCAAACCATTCCCAAAGCATCCTGCACATCACTGCTCTGTGGGGGACAGCTTTCTCTGAACATCTGATCCCTGCTTGCCCAGCTAATGAAAGTTCAGTCCTCTTTCTACACATGTGGGAAATAATTCAAAACAAATTGCAGGAAGTTCCTGAACACCGATTCCAGGAAGAGGTCCAGCTGTGCCCCCAGGCAGTGCTGGGATGGGTTGTCTCAGGTTTGCCTCTCTGAGGTGATGAGGTGATGTGGCAGTAGATGAGTTTTGAGTCCTTCATGGCTTGGTGGACTCTAAGGCATGTTTTGAAAGGGAGTGGGAGAAGTGAGGCCTGCTGATGGCAGTTGAGCTCTGAGGGGTGTGAAGAGGCATGGATTTGGCTGGGGAAAGCTCCCCTATTCCCCAGCCAACAGCAGAAAGTAAAAATTTGTGTTTGTGTTCTTTTCAGGGTGTTTCAGCAGTGCCCTTTTCTAAACAACCCAAAATTAAACTCTGCCTAAAGATAGTACCCGTGGACTAGGACCAAAGGGAACACAATTCAGTTGAAATCAAAACAATAAGTGATCTGGAGAAAAAGTAACATGTAAAGGAGGCCAAGCTGCGTCAGCTGCGAGGAAAAGGAAGAAAGTCTTGGGAAAAATAAACGTAGAGGCTGCCATGCCTGCTGCCAATTATAAATCTATTAATCAAAAACAATAAAAATGTCGGGCTTTTTTGGCCAGTTGCAACATGACATGATTTATGGCTCCTCTAATAAATCTCGTGCTTGAAGAGGAGGAATTCTGAGGGCAGAAAGACTCATTGCTTATTGCCACCTTATTAAAACCAGAGCACAGGGCTCAGCTTCCTGGTCTGCACCTAGTAAATCCCTCTGCTTCACGCCAAGAAATTTCACATCCCTTTCTGTCCAGGGAGAGCCAGGCCTGAGGGGGGAGGTGGGATAGGGATGGGGTGAGAGGATCTGTGTGCTTCTTCGGAGGAGTAGCCGAACTGTTCCTGTGAAAGGGAGTTTACATCTTGTCCAGCTGCTTTTCACGCAAGGAGGTGGAGGTGTTTGAAAGCCGTGGATGAAGCTTCACAACTCACTGGTGAGAAAGATGAGGGTTACTGGAGTGATAAATCTGGTGAGATGGCTTGTCCCAGCCTGTGTGTACCTGGGGATGGAGCTGGAGGCTCGTACCGGGTGTTCTGTTCCTCCGATGAGGTTCCTGGTTGGAGTGGGCTTGGCATGGCAGGTGTGAGCCACATTGCTTGCTCTGCACAGCCAGATCCTGCTGGCTGCTGTGCAAAACACAAGCTGCCCACAGAGTGAGCTCGGTGCAAAGCTGTAGCCAGAGAAAAGCAGTGGTTTGTCTCAGCATGGCCACCTCGGTGGTCCAGAGGGCAATACATGAGTTTTGTGGCTGAGCACACAGACCCTTTTTCTGGGACTGGCCCCTTTGTGCTGTGTTCAGGCCCTGCAGTGCCTTATCCACTTGGGCTGGGAAGTGGTGGACTAACCAGCCCTGGGAGTGTTCAAACACTGTGTAGGTGTAGTGCTTGGGGACATGGTTTAGTGGTTGGCTTGCAGTGGGTTAATGGTTGGACTTGATGATCTTAGAGGTCTTTTCCAACCTAAATGATTGATCCAGAGGATAACTGCAGGGGTCCTGTTAGTCTCCTCTTAGGGGTTGAGGAGTGGCAGAGTGCCAGGTGAAATCTGTGCAGACAGAGAGCAAATACAACTAGACAGCAGACCTGTGCCCACCAGAGCGGTTTCTGATGGGGCCATCAGAGATAAATCCAATTTATCTCATCTGTTGATGGGGGCAGGCATGGCCTAGTGGGGACCAGTTTGGATAAGGCCTGTGGCAAAGCTCAGCTCTCTAGATTTGGGAATTCCCTGCAGCTGTTCAGCTCTACCCTCCCCCAGAAGGGAGCCCATGGGGGGAGCGTGAATTGGAGAGGCCACAGGTACAGGTGGGAATGGGAAACTGGAGGAAGTAGGGCCAGGATTCTTGGAAGTGATGCTTAGTAATAGGGGTTGCCAGGGATGCAGCTTCTGGATAACTCAGTTATCAGCTCCTGTTTGTGTAATAGGGGTGTCTCGAGTGGGCTGTTCTGGAAATGAGTGTCTGCCACTGCTCCCGTAATGAGGCCGCCTAATTCGGCAGGAGAGGGATGGTGTGTGCTTTGGGAGCGATGCTGCTCCATAGGATTTACCCTATCAGTGCTCTGTCCATACATGCCTCGTACAAATTACTCTGTTTTAAAGCTGTCATTATGGTAATAGACCCAATTGCTGTCTAGTAAAGCCATAAAATGTTTCCATCTGCCTGTGTGCTCCAGGCTCCTTAGCAAAGCTCGTTACAGCCAGAGTTCCTGCAGCCGGAGGTTTCCCCGTGCAGCACGAGCAGCCAGGCACAGGCTGGGAGCAGGGAGCTCCTGAGCAGTCAGGCCTCACCAGGAATTACACCTTGTCCTGCTGTGGACATGCTCCTGGGCAGGGACCATGCAGTGTTTGTTAAAGCCAAGGGCAGTGTCCCTGCAGAGCTCAGCCAGACTGAGGGCAATGCATCCAGGTGGGGGGGATGCCGGACGGATTCGAGCCTGATGTTTAATCCTTGCTTGCCACAAAGGAAGCAGCCTGTAATCCTCTGGGGGAATGCACTGGCCTATCCCGAAATTGTTGAACCATCTAGGAGCTTAGATGTGTCAAGCAATTGGCTTCTCATGAGTTTCCTGTTAATTTCCCAGAACTATTAGGATCAGGCACCTAAAAATTGTGGTGGCTGAAAGCACCACAAGTTGAATGTTGCTGCTTTATCCCAGCTGGACCCTGTGTGTTACTGGGAGTGGGCTGCTGTGGTGAGCAGGGCTGTCCCTGCAGTGGGGTTGCCCCTGGCAGAGAGAGGAGGTCCCTCTGCCCTGGCTGGATGGGGGCAGCAGATGATGGGATGCTTCCCACGTGGATGTGTCTGAGCTCCTGCCACAAAGACCTGCCCTTTCCTTCTGCACCTGCGGAGTGTGGAGAGGGGTTAAAAATCGCAAGCCTTGGGAGTCCTCCGTTAGGGAAGTCCAGACAGATTTCCTTCAGGGAGCAGTGGGGTGGGATTTAAGAAACCAGCAAGACAGAGTTTTTCTTGGCTTCGTTTTCCGAAGCCGGCCGAGCACCACCAGCAGCCACCTTTCCTTTGCCTTCAGCTTGTTCGCAGGTGTTGTCCCACGGATGGCAGCCATCAGCCTGGGAGGCTTCATCTTCCTGGGGACATACGAGAAGACTCGCCAGCTGCTGCTCTGAGCCAGCCCGGCCGGTCCCGCCGGTGGCCACCGAGGAGCTGGAGAAGCCGCAGGAGGAGTCGGGCGGCGAGCACAGCCTTCCTCCCGCCACAGCAGCTGTCCCGCAGGCTGAGAGCCACTCTCGCTGTTAGAGAGAAGCAAATCCTCCAATAATCCAATTTCCCAAACATGAAATTTTCCTGCATGGAAAGTGAGTGAGGTCATCGTGAGAGTTGTGCCAGCAAAGTAATGTTTTGGGGGGGTAAACAGCTAATTACGGTGGCTAAGAAAGGCGTTATTAGAACTCCTGCAGGGCAAGTGTTTTGGAAACCTCCAGCTCGGGGGGCTGAGCTGGGAGGCTGAAATAAAGCAAGTTTTCATCGTTCAGTGGCACCTGCCTCGTAACGTGGGGAGGGGAAGGGGCTGATAGAGTTACAGCCTTGCTGCCCTCCAACAGCACCAAAAGTATTCTGGGTTGGGAGAGCTCTTTGTAAAAGACAATCATCCATTTGTTTCTGATTTGAGCTGTATTTGTGGAAGTTTATATTCCTGTTTATACCTACAGGTGCTCAGCAAGCATTCCTGTGTGGGAGCCAGTGCAGCTTTATTAATCAGACTCACATTTCTCCAGTAAAAGCACAGGCTTGTATTATTTTACAGCTGTGCTTTTGCAAAGACATGGAGCTCTGCCTTCTTTTGGTCTTCATCCCTCAGCAGCTGAAGGAGCAGGAGGTTCAAGTGCTGAAGCCCAGGAGGAAGCCTGGGGAAGGCAAGGCAGGGAGAACATGGGAGTTCTCCTGCTATGGATCCTGAGGGCTCTCAGGGGGCTGCTGGCAGGCAGAGCAAAGCTCTGCTGCAGTTCTCGTGTAGGAAACAGAAGCTGTAGTGGCCAAAATGGTGCAGGGACTAGCACGGTGAAAAGACCTTACTGGAATTACTCAAAATCATTACCAGCATCAGGGCTGGGAGCTCCCAATTTCCAGCAGCTTGGCTGAGCGGTGCTGTGGAGTGGGTTGCTGTGGGGTTTTCCGGGTGGGCAAAGCCAAGGGCTGTGGAAGCACCAAAAAACCCCTCCCTGGGCTGCGCCAGCATGGTGGGTGACGGGGCTGGGACAGGCAGTGGTGTCTCAAACCTTGCCCTGGGCTTGGCCACGGTGCTGGGAAGCTCCTCACACGGTGGGTGAGCAGGTGGGAGCTGGCACGTGTGGGCTGAGCCGTGCTGGGTGAGCAGGGCAGCCATCGGGCTTGTGCCTGCTCTGCTCCATCCTGGTCGTCGCAGCACGGATGTTCCAGGGGTGATGTGCTCCCCTGGAGTGCTGTAATTTAAGTTTGAGATTGTTTGCCTCATGAGGATGATATACAGGTAGGTGGAGGAACACACACCAAACCAGGTTTGTGCATGACCAGCGAGCACGTGCGACCCGACCCGGCCCAGCATGACTAAGGCTGTCATCCCATGACATAGTAATGAAACCTTTTAGAGGCCAAAAACTTAAAAAATAATTGGCAGACAAGTAAAACATACAGAACAAAGGACTTAATTCTTAAAAATAATCTTCAATTAAAATGGGGAATTTCAGCCAAGTCCCATATTGGCTGGTTGTTAACGCTACCCGTTACCAGGGCTCGGTGTAGCTGTTCCTGCCACTTGGAGGTTGTCTCTCTTTTATGACATTCTGTATATGCAACAGAGCCAATTTTAGGGGCTGGGGGAGGGAGGAGATTTATTGCTCTGTCTCAAAATCTAACTTATATTTGCTCTTTAAACATGGTGACGGGGTTAGCAGTGCAGTCGATGCATTTAATTACTTGCGCTCTAAATAATCGTCTTTAGTAAAGTCGTTGGGTTGTGATGCATTTTTTTGTTGTTTTTATTTAACATTGCATAATCAGTTTTTGTCATCACCATTTTGGATTTATTTTTTTTAATTTAGAAAAAACCCCCAACATATGCCAAACAACGAGCCAAATTGTTTTAGCCAGCCTAGTGGTGGGAGGAGATGCACCCCCAGTGCTTCTTATTCTCCTGTGCTGATGGGCCAGCTCCACATCCCAGATTGCTGTGGGAAGGCCAAAGATACCCAGGAACAGCACCAGTCAAGTGAGAACCCCAGCAGGTGGCCAGGGCTGTTCTGCATGTACCAATTTTTCTGATCCTGATATAAAAAGGACATTTTTAGTTTTGGGAGTATGGGTGGGGAACACAGACCTAAAAATGCAGGGTTTTTTTCCCTTTGCCTTGAGTTTTAGCAATGTTTTTTTTTTCAACTTTAGCAAAATTGTAAAAATTAATTTTAGCCCATTACTGGAATGAAGTGGGATAACACTTGAATCTCAGACCAGGCACCAGCCTCCTAAAGGTTTTTTCTTTTCCATTTAAAAAAAAATTAACTCTTACATATGTTAAGGGACTTCGAGTAAGACAACCTGCTTTATACTCAAAGTTATAATTTGGAAGAGGAAATACTTTTATTATTTTTTTAAAATACATAGAAACTGAATTGAGATTTTTAGTTAAAGCAGGAATTCAGGCTTATCTCCAAAGTTGCCGCTGGAATTTCCATCCAGGGTGGGGTTGGGGTTTGGGAACACCAGAGGTGTTCACAGCTGCAGCTGTTTTTACTTACACACACGCTCACACCCCCCCATCTGTTCTGTTCTCAGTGCCAAGATAAGGGGGATTTGCCAGATACTAAAGCAAGCTGATATACTGGAAATCTATTTCTTACGAGTTCTTTGTTCTGTCTTTCAACCCAGCCCCCAAATTCCACCCCATCCACACACCAGGCTGCCAGAGCCTCACGCTGTTCCACAGTATCTCATGGTCCAGTTTCAGGAGTGGGTACACTAGCAGTTAGTTTGCATTTTCACCAGAGAGAGACAGAGAAGAGTTATAGCAATGGATTAGAATTTTATTTCATTTTCAACTGAAACTCCCAAAAGCTCACTCTCAACAAAACAGCTGTAATATTATAAATGAACCTTTATTAAAGACACTTCAATGCCATTTGTTAGACACTTCAATATCTTACATGTTTTTCAATGTACAACATTGTACCAAATTTTCTAATAAATAAATAACTTTGTACACAAAAGTAATACTTCCTCTTTCACATTGCCTCTTAGAAGCAGCAAATTCACATATTTAGTGGAAGTCATAACATTAGGCAGTTAACTTTATTCAGAAACATTATTTTCAAATGTTAACGTGGCAAATATGCTTTTGTATCCGCAATGGTGATGACATCTCCGCCAGCAAAATGAATCCACTGTATCATTCCCATCTTCCCCGTGTCCCTGGTTCCATGAGCCGGTTCTGGAGCACTTTTCCCTTCGGTAAAGGGAAAACTACACTCGGGTTTATAATTTTCTAACATCCATTTCCTTTGCTTTGAATAAACTTGGCACCCAACATAATTCACCACCTGTCTCAAAGTGCAAACGTGTCAATAGTCAGGAACTGGTACAGACAGGTACTGGCTGAATTACGCCTCGATTCATCCAGGGGCAGCTGCTGCTCTGCACTGACACTCTCAGCAGCTGCTGGGCACAGAGGTGAGGTCCTTCCCTCAAGGTAAGGCTGGGCAGGACCAGCTTCTAATAACACCAAGGGGCACCTTGCATCCCTGGAAGCCCACAGGTGTGGCAGCACTCAGGCAGGTCCCGAAATGATAGACCTGAACTGAAAATTAGGTGTTTCTGCCCTTGTCTCTGATGCTTGTTTTGAACCCCAGTCCCAGCAAAGGTGGGTTCCCATCAGACTCGCCCTCAGTGGAACTGGCATTTGAGTTGCTCCTAAGGAAAAAAGTAACAAACCCCCCTAATAAACCTTCCCCTAAAGTAGTCATCACCAGAGTTAGGAACCTCATGTTAGCAGAACTCAAATCACAAAGAACTGGGAGTCCTCCATCCACAGGTAATGACGCCAACAGAAAGCAGCCCTTCTATAAATAAAAAGCGTCACAGTGAAGTCAGAAGCGACAAAGATCTGTTTGACTGAGGTGGGTATTTCTTTATCCTCCCCAATTAATGGATGAACTTAAAAGACCACATAAAAATATTTGGGACATTGCCATTTAACAGTCTATTCGACCATAAATGCATGGTTCTCCTTCTAAATGAGTGTATTTCTGACTAGCCCAGAACTGCTACACGAGGCAGCACAACTCACTTGAAGGTGATATTTTCATAATACAGAGTCTGGCTGCAGATGGGGCCAATGGTGTTCAACTACAAAGTGTAATATTGTGTTGCAGGGGAAAAAAAAAAGCATCGTATGAATTCATGGTACAGCTGTCCCCCTAGGAGTGCGATTTAGTTTTGTTGACAAAACAGCTCTATGGTTTCCAACCCCCTCCAGAACAGATGTATTTTTTGGGTGTGAAAATGCATTATACTGGCACTGTTCCCTCTAGGCAGGGCAAGGCTGGATCGTTACAGGCACCTCAGGCAGGTAAAGCTGGATCCTCTGGGAGTGAGTGTTGTGGTGATCAGTGCTGTGACAGCTCACATGGCAGGTAACACCTTCTGTGATGATGTTTTTGAAAGGTGCACTGTGTGAGACCACCCCTGGTTTACTGCACAAGTTATTTATTTTGGTAACGACTGCTTCCTAGCCGTGACAGCCTTTTCCTCTGGTTGTTTTGGGGCTCCGCACTGTTGCTGAGTTATTTAGTGCCTCTTGTGTGGTCCACTCTAACATCTCACACAGTCACAGTTCAAACACTAATTTTTATGCAGTTTTGAAAAATAAAGGAATTTAAGTTCTTCCACCAACAGGAAAATATCAGGTTGCTATGTAATTTCCCACTGCTTTTTTCCCTTATAAACTTCATTTGAAACAGTTGAAGATCTCTGTTTAAATGTGTTAAGTGCAATAAATTTCAAAGGGGAAGGAAATTTGTGCTAAGTAACCCAATTGATATTTAGAATCATGCACATGCACATGGCTGGCTCGTGTCCAGCCTCTCATCCACCAATACGAGTCTCTCTCCACAGGGCTGCTCTTGGTCACTTCTCTGCCCAACCTCTACCTGGGATTGCCCCAGCCCAGGTGTACTTGATGTAGAGGATCTTGCATTGAAAAGAGGACAGTCCCTTTGGAACAGTCTGGCTTTTTAAAGTTCGGTTTATGCATTTAAGGCACCAGAATTATTTCTCTCACAAAAGTTTAACAGCAACCTGATACTGAAAACAATATTGCCAAAATTGTAAAATTTCACTCAGTTTTCCATGCACTAAAGATTAAAATAGCCTCTGTAAAAGATATATATATATTTATATATATATATTTATATATGAAAACTCTTATGTACAATTGTATCAAATACTTTTCTCTTTACACAATAATCCCTTGCATTTATGTGCTTCATATGCAAGTTGACTTTTGAACACTTCATACTTCTCAGGGAAGTTTTAAACTATGTACAATCAGACGACGCTCGAACAGGAGTTTGTTCCCCATACAAGCTTGTTTCTCATACCTCAGTCGGTTGCCTTTGACAGGTCATCAGTTCGAGATTCGAGGTAGAAGTAAGTAGCCTATATCCTCTGTGCAAAA